TGTAGCATCCTTACAATCATGATTAAAATTCAGGCATTTGGCAGCCTGCTCATACTTAAATTAAAGGGACATTCCCACTCCCACACATCTATCTCCCCCTAGCTGTTTATGTCTTTTTACTGCCTGTTAACTGCCTTGTGGGGTTCCAGTCAGATCCAGAACTGTGGCTCTGGGTTAGCCTGCTATGCCCTGAGAAATATCAGCTGTCGTAGCAAGTACTAGAGAGCATTCAATCCAGTGGTGGGATTCAAATTTGCTTACTACTGGTTCTGTGGGTGTGGCTTGGTGGGCGTGGCAGAGGAAGGATCCTGTAAAATCTCCATTCCCTCCCTACTCCTGGGTGAAGGTTACTGCAAAACCCATTCCCTCCCCACCCCACTAACCTGCTTTCCAGCTCTGTTCTCCTATGTAAGGCAACCAAAGTAGACCCAGCCAATCAGCTGGGATTCAGGAGGCAGAGAATAGATGGGGGTGGGACCAGTCAGAGATGGTATTTGCCGGTTCTCTAAACTACTCAAAATTTCCACTACCGGTTCTCCAGAACTGGTCAGAACCTGCTGAATGCCACCTTTGATTCATTCTCTCAGCTGCCTTCTCTCCCCAGGCCCACATTGATCCCCAGCTTGGCCCAGCAAGCTCCAGCAAACATTTGTTTGCTCCCAAATGCAATGAGGAATGCCAGGATTTCCATTGTAAGTCAATGTGGTCATGTGATACCTTGCTTTATGACTGCATCAATAATGGCAATTCGGTCATAACTGTGGTTGCAAGTCAAGGATTTAAATATTGGTGCTGAGTCTGGCCTTTCTTGTCTAACAGTATGTAAGATGGACAATATTTTCTGGTTTTGTTGACACGCTAAATAATACTTAATCTAAAGTGGAAGCAGACATTTCCATTTTTCTTTCCGCTTCACCAAGCAAGATAGAACTTGCAAACCTAGGGAATTCCATTGCAACTAAACTCAGATAATGTTTTGCCAAATTCTTTCAATTAAATTTTAATCCTTTTGTCACTGGTAGTGCAGTAAAGAAATACACAGCAATAAACTGTACTTCGTACTGGAGATTATTAATTAGAGGCCTTTTGAAGCTTCTCCCAGTAAAATGGGGAAGGAAAACCTGTTTTTTGATTGTCTCTTTGCTTAAACTTCCCCTACGTTACCTTATATGCAACTTTCACAGTCCTATCCACTGAGTGGAACAGACTTTTTTGCTAGTATATTGGAAAGTGTAGCAGATTCCCACCCCATCCAACTGACATATACCATTGCCAGATTAAAGAACCTTCCAGCAGCAGAGGGTCACCCTAAATAAGGCACTTTCAATATAAAAATATAAACAATAACAATAAGACTTGTTTTGGAAACCTCTGCCTTTTACTGGTTTGAATTACATGGCTATTCTAAAATAGTCTAATACTAAAAGGCAGCTGGATTAGGTATATTAATACTGGGTTTTAATATTCTAAATTTTCATTTCCAATTCCTTGAAAATGTTCTTAACACTTAGAGATGTCACATTTAAAGGATTGTGTGTTCTCTTTCATACATTTATTATGTATAGCTTATACATACAGGAGTGTAAGATTGGTGCTTATGTAAATCCATTTATGTACTGGTTTTGCCATGATAACATTTAAGTATAGCTTTTCTTTGTCATATAGAAATGAAAAATGACAGAATATTTCAAACTATGAAAAAATTATAAAGTGTGCAGCTTTTTATGTATTCTGACTGAAGGTGTTGCAAAGGTTAATAACTGGGTTGCAACATCTATTGTAGGAAAATATTTTTTTAGCTTAGTCAGTGTTAGCTTCCATTTAAGGAAGAATGTCTGTTAAAATCAGTGGTATTTACTAACTCTGCCTGTGAAAACATTCCTTTTCACCCTCAGATGCTGGTTCAGCTGTCTTTCTTCTAAAATAAATTATTTCAGTATATTCTCTACATTTGAAAAATTTAAGCATGCATTTTAGTACTCTGGACAGAAAAAATTGATTGCACTTACTATTATGGAATATGTAACATTGCTATTGTACTTTTAATTACCACAGTGCTTTTGTAGTGATGGTTCTAAAACTGTTTTGCATTAACTATGCTTATTTGCAGAGGTGTGGGTGCTGTAAAGTAGTATTGAACCTTGGACTCAATAGTTGAATTCATATCATTTTATCTGCAGTATATAGATATAGAGTTAATCCATTGAAATTTAGCTATATTATACCAGACACCAGGTAGCAACAACTTTATCTGTGTTTAGAAATTAATCTGGGTTAGGCCTGGTTAGTGCTTGGATGAAAAACCTACAGAAAATAACAAGGCTGTAAGCTTGAAGCTTTTTAAGACTAGAAAGCAGAGGGAGGAAGAAATCAATAGAAAATCATTTCAGTGTTGCTGCTAAAAAAAATCCCTATATGTTTGTGTCCATGAAGACATCAGATATTGAATTTGTCTTATCTTTTTATATACAGACAGGAATATAAATGATAATCTTTTAGTAAGCCACATTAAGCCTCAAGCTCTTCTATCCTGGAGATCTGCCAGAAATATCTCATAAAAATAGGTAGAAAAGAAATGAAAAGTAACTGATTAAAAAAGAAATTTTGTTCTTTGGTATCATAGTTTTGCTAATGTTTTCCATCAGATGTCATCAATTTGATTCAAACCAGAAATGTAGTGCTAGAACAGTTATTACAGTCAAGAAACCCAATATGAGGCCAGAAATATAACTTTTGCTACTTAGTATTGTTTGGAAAAACAGCAGCTGAAAAATCTGTACATATGGAATAAAAACAAGTTGAATCAATTTCATATTTTCATAATTCTTTAATATAAACAAAAATTCATAGGAATAACTATTAGTAGGAGCTCTTAGCAAAAGTAAAACAACTTGAAATAATTTTACACATTTGGGAAGAGCTTGCTGATGAAAACCAGTTTAGGAATAAGTTTAGCGTAGGAATCAGCACTGTACCTGCAACAATCCTGGATGAATCTGAAGTTTTAAAATCAGTTTTAATAATTATTTAAAATGATTAAAATCTTGAAGGGTACATGTTCTTTCATCTTGTCAAGTTTCAGTTATGTTTTTACTTTAATGATTATTTCTTACAGCATGACCGATACTGTGCTAAAACCGATACATGACCGATACATTTGCTAAAAAAGGTTTCTGAATTCTAGTTTTCCCTGAAGTCATGTATGCTTTTGTTTGCTGATATGGAAACAAAGTATAGGCCTTGAAGACACTACAATATTAGGGAAACAAAACTGGCCTTATTACACCTAGCATTCTCTCTTTCTCTTTCTCTCTCATTTCCTACCTGTCAAATTGGAAAATATATAAAATTCTTGGAAGTATCTTATTTTTTAAAGAAAGACAAATAACTTTTGCTTTTAAAAATATCAACAAGTAAATAAAAAATTTGAATGCTCATAGTTATAATTTCTTCATGCTTTGAAGTCTGGCTTTTATTTTAGATGTTTAATTCACACCCTTTATTCAACGTGATTAGAGTAACGTGCATAGATCTTAACCATGGTCTAGTGCAGGGGTAGGGAAACTTGGCTCTTCTATTACTTATGGACTTCAACTCCCAGAATTCCTGAGTGAGCCATAAAAGGTTCCCCATCCCTGGCCTACTGGTTTTTCAGTTGTGGGGGAAAGCATTTTTTTACTTGAATGGGACTGTTTAATATGCAAATGTAGGACATATGTTAATTACTGCAGCATGGTTTGTGTGGATTTTTATTTACAGTTTGTATGTACTTTGTTTTCGGATTGAATTTACTCCATTTAAAGACTGTTCTTGGAAGAGTTTTTTCTCCAGCCGAAGGTAACCTGGACATTAGGGGCAAAGTTGGATGTATTAAAGGGACTCTTCTTACTTATGTGACGGTGTTGCCTTTGTGCCACCCGCTGGGTCATCACAGCACCTTTCCTATTATAGAAATACTGTTTTAAAGCGATATGTCAATTTCAATGCCCTTTTAATGTATTTTTAATACTTGTTATAGTTTTATTGGTGCAACATTATGTAAAACAATTACAATTATACTGGTGCTTTTCATGCATGTTGGACAGAAACATGCACATGTTATTGTGAAAATAGTGGGATTTGGAGTTACCAACTTAAATGTAATAACTTAATAACTTTATGTAGTCTATATAACTTTAATAATAACTTAGATTTAATAAACATTGAAGGTCATCAGCTTAGGAAAGACTACATTAGATGTCTTCACAATCCAACCAGAATACCAGTATGAAAACTTAATTATTAGTTTGAGATTTCAGTTGTTCCTCTGACCTTTTCTTTGGATTGGTGTTATGATTTTTAAAATTAACTATTGGAGTTTTAATTAAAAGATTCTATAATGTCTATACTTGAATAATTCCTTTCTTTTAAAACTTATGTTCAGAACTTTTCTTACATTGAATCTAGATCACATTTCTAGATACATTTTACCTTTGAAATATTATATTGCATTTAACCAAACAAATAATTCGCAAATTTTAGACCAATCCATAGTACGCATCTTAATGGGGGTGAATGGTGTCTGTTAATACGCAAAAGGCCATATAGGGCAGAGTTCCTCAACCTTTTTGGGTTGGTGGCCTGGAGTGGGAGGAAAGGGGGAAAAGGGGGTGATTTTGTGATGGGACAAGCACATGTGTGCATGCATGCATGTGCACAAGCACCCATGACATTTGTGGTGACGCGTGAGTGGGGCCACAAGGGCCTGCGAGTGCCCATTATGGCACTTGTGTGAGTGGGGCTGCAAGCACCCACATGTGCATGCAGAGACACGCATACCAGCCAGCCCCTCATGCGGCCCAGTGGTGATTAGCCTGCAGTCCAGTAGTGCACCACGGAACATGGGTGGGGGACCCCTGATGTAGAGTATAGATAAATTTTGCAATAGCAAAGTCTGTTGAATATGTTACTTCAGATTTAATGTAAAAATTGGAAAACATTGATTTGTTTTTAAATTTTAGAGCTTGGATGAATATGATGATGATGAAGCAGGACAAAAAGAACGTAAAAGAGAAGATGCAATCACACAACAAAATACAATACAAAATGAATCCACTGTTTCGGATCCAAATGCTTCATATATATTGCAGGTGAGATGTTGTAATATATATCTACAAATACCTTTAATTTTTGTTTTGACAGATTTTAGTGCCACTGTTACATTGACCTGGCATTATTGATTGACTTTGAATAACATGATACAGAAATCATAACTTGTATTTATTTTGTAGTCATAACTTTGGCTATTGCCTCTGCCTTCTGGATTATTTGATAGCAACTCTTGTAAAACCCAAAGAACCATTTGTGTACTGTCATGAAGGATAAAATAAAATGGTATATAGCATTTGATAATTATAGAATGAATCAGGCATACCTAGCAACACTTTTGGCTATGTCCAATAAGCAAATTTGTTAAGGATTAGGGCATAAAACATTAAGACCTTGGAGAAATTTCCAATAAACTGAATGAGATGTTAAGGTTGAAATATAAGTAGAGGTGGAAATAATGCACAGATATACAGACTTGTAACTACTTTCTAATAGGATCAATAAAAAAAAATCAAATGTTATTGTGGTATTAGACCAAGGTTTAACTATTACATTTATTAGTGCCGTCTGTGAATATTCTGATCATGTTAATTAAATTCAAATCAACATGAATTAACAGAATTCATGTGAATCAAAATCAGAATTAATTGTTAACTGTTATAACCCAGAACAGCCACCTTACTAGAGCATTCCCTTATTGCTAGCATTCACTGTTTTGCATTTCAGTTTGTAATCTCAGAATTTCTATCTGTTAATATTGTAGTCCTCAAGGTAGGACCATAATTGAGCCCAAAATTTCTGTGACTAAGAGAATTGCTAAGTCAGTTTTGCCCCATTTTACGGCCTTTCTTGCCATAGTTGTTAAATGAATTACTGCAGTTGTTAAGTTAGTAACATGGTTATTAAGTGAACCTGACTTCCCCATTGATCTTGTTTGTCAGAAGGTTGGAAAAAGGCGATGACCCCGGGATACTGCAATTGTCACAAATGTGAGTCAGCTGCCAAGGATTTGAATTTAGATTATGTGACCACAGGGATGCAATGGTCATAAGTTTGAAAAACAATCATAAGTCCCTTTTTTCAGTGCCATTATAAATGTGAATGGTCACTAAACAAACTGTTGTAAGTTGAGGACTATCTTAAATAGTTTGACCAAGTACATATCCAATGACAGTGACTGGTCTGTTGAAATTAAATAGTCATCCAAACTAATTTCCATACCTTCTAATTAATATTTTTAACTTGTTTTGATCCTTAATTTTAATTATTTCTTTGGAAAAGTTTTGGAATGAGTAAAAACTCTGATGGGTTTAGTTAATTAATTACAGTAGTATCTTTTTTTCTTTTCATAAATAATGATTTGCCTATGTAATGATTGGAGTTCCTCCATCATTACATAAGGCTTTGCATTACCGGATACTATACGAAAACGTCTAAAATTGACTCTACTTCTGTTTCGTTCTGTTATTACAAGAGTCAAAGAACTAATTGCTAGTTGCTGAAGTGTGAAGAATATTAGAACAGACCTGATACATTGGCTTCTTTGCCCATTTTTCTATTTGCAGAAAGACAGTTACCATTTGTGAGATGGTGACACAGTAGCTAAAATAGTTTGTAAATATTTGTATCAGGCATGATGGTGATCTCCTCTAGTCCTTGAAGCTTTGTCCTCTGGCCATGTTGGCAGGGGAATGATGATCAGAGTTGAAATTAAACTATTTGGAAGGCTTCCTATAATCAATACTATGTGATGTATTTAAATGTCAGCTCTCTTGTTCTTTTAATTTCTGCTTATCTACATCTTTCATTTGGGGGTGTTTTCATAAGTTACTTTAAGTGTAGTTCAAGGCAAAGTTGGGATATAAATGAACAACAATAAGTTATATTTATTCCCTTTCTTCATTTATACAATATCGTTTCTCACTAACACCACTTTCAAAACTGCTGTTGTAGAGCTAAGCCTCAAAATGAGTTATGCTCGTTGCTCTCTATATTTCTAGCACATAGTCATCTGACTATGGATAAATAATTATAGATACAATTCTCAGCAGAATTTTAGAATTTCCATTGGGCTCCATGGTCCCAAATGTACTGGATCCTACTGTAAAAATCTTCATGATTGTGAAGCAGTTTCTCACTGTAAACTGTTTTAAGTTATAATCACAAATCAGCAATTATAAATATTAGATACTTAATTGTGTTTTTAAAATATATTTTAACAGGACGCTTCTAGGACAATTGGAAACAGATACAAAAGGTAAGGAATTGCGTAGTAGGTTATTGGTCATTGAAATATAACTACAACTCTATAGAAAGCAAACACTCAAATTTTGTACTAAAACTCTTTGTTTAATAATAGATGTCTTTTGAACTCTATCTGTGTTAGAATATAGAATATTAGATGTAAATACCTAAGAACCAATATATTACACAGCTTTCCCTAGATACAGGTGCATTCCAGTCGTATCCACTTCAGGACACATAGGGTCACCTTTCTAATATGTATGCTACTGCTTTTAAGTGCTACTATTCAACTAAATAAACCTTTCTTAATCTATTGTTCCCTAATTACTCATTTGTACCTTATCACCCAACAGTCACTGTATCAAAACTGTAAGCCGCTTCAACATAGGAACAAAAAGTCTACTTTTACTGATACACACTATTTTTTCAGTAATTCTGTAATTATATTTAATATATTTTAAAGAGCTAAACATTCCAATAACTATTTTTATTATAAAGTAATAATAAATATGACTAAAGCAATCTTGCTTCTATGGGAGCAGATGTTTCTTGGGTACAATCTCAAAAAGACATCCAAAAGAGAGAAAATTAGCACAATACGTTACATAATACAGTGTGAACTTTATTTTTTTCAAACAAAAAGACAAAGTGATGGCAATAAAGCCTTTTATCTTCTTCTTCTATTTTGGTTTTATTACATTAGCATGACAGAGTATTCCTTTTGTTCCATTCCACTTTAATTAAGTATTCTCAAAAAATCCGACATTCTCCTTTTTAGCTCTAGAAAGTTGAACATCCTATGCCATGCTCTGAAGTAGATCATCTCATTGTTCATCAATAGAACTTTTAATGAACCTCAGTTATAGATTTTGCATGGATCAACTTTGCAGCACTCTAAAAGTGGATTATCTGGGCTCTTTTCTGTCAGGGTTAAGGCCTGATTTTGTGAGATTGCACTGTCACTCTACTGAATGACCTGCATCATATGGGGAAAAGTGTGACCTTCCTGGTATTAGTAGTGGCTTTTGATATACAATTAATTGCCTATGGTGGTGATGGCAAACCTATGGCACGCAGAGCCATTTGTGCTAGCATGCGAGCCGCAGCCAACTTACTTCACTATGCATGCACGTGCCTCACAGCTGATTTTTTTTCCGGTTGGTTTGAGGCCTTTCATGATGAAACGGGCCTATAATTCAACCTGAAAAGCCTTGCAGAGGCTTTTTCCAAGCCTCTGAGAGGCCGAAAAAGGCCTCAAACCAACTGGGGGAAAAAAATCAGCTGTGAGGCGCAGTGCAGGTAAGTGGGTGGCGGGGGGGGAATTGCATGCACATGCGCAGGGAACGTGGGGAGGGGGCGCATGCATTGTATTCTGGGTGCTGGCGCACGCACAATTTTTAGCACAGAAGCCCAAAAGGGTTAGCCACCACGGGCCTATGGTATCCTTTTTTATGTAGTACTTTTATTAAATAATCTAATTACAACAGTCAAAACTAGTACAAGTAGAAAAAAACTAGAATAAATAAAAAGAATAGGTTTAGAAAAAATGGAAAAGGTGCAAAAAAGAAAAGAATAGTAAAAAAATTATGAAGAAGTGATTTCCCACATTCATCACAACTATAAACAATTTTAGTAATGCATCATTTTCTCTTAAAAATAACTACAAATGAATATCATCTTCCCATCTTCTATCTCTTATCTGTAAACAAATTCATAAAGCATTATCATTTCAGTTCTGATGACAGGAAAAGTCCATTAAGGGTTACCATAATTAATTTTAACTTTGATCAAGTACACCACTTTACATTCCTTTTATTTCTAACAATCTTAATCTTTAGTCCCTTCAAATAATATCATAAAACTTGATTTCTTTTCATTTTTTCCTTTGACCCTTTTCACAATTTTTTTTTCAAAGTTTTAAGAAGCCTTTTCTCTAAATCTAATATAGGGTAAATGACCCAGGTCATTGTCTCTTGATTTGTTATGTCTGTATCCTTTTTATTTATTAAGACATCAGCTAGAGGCAAGTACTATTAAAATTAACTTCTGGATCCATTGTTCAAAAATGTCCTTCAGTGTGCCCAATGTTAAAACACTTTGCTTCATCCTATAATTGTAAGTTCACTTTAAGTGCTCTTCTTGTAATGTTTAGTTCCCTCTAGTGTTCAATTTTTACAATCTTTCATGATTTTTAAAATTCAAAACAAAAACATTTTCCCATGGGAAGGGTTCTTTATAATCAATTCCGACATCTCATTTGAAATTTATCTGGACCCCTTAGTCCATATATACACTTCTGAAACCAAAGCTTTAATCATCCTTTTGCTGTTTATTCAAATAAATAATTAACTTATAGTTAAAAGTTTCTTTCGCGGGATTGAAGGGATACTTACCTAGTGCTGTCAGATCTCTCAGTACAATATAAAAATTTCCAATAGTTAAAAAGCAATTAATGAACAATTTTTGAAAGTAGTTAGAAATTATGTAAACCTGGTGTCCTTTCAGAGGAGTTGATCATGATTTCAGCAAGATGGTTATTCCCCCATCTCCCAGAGCTCTAAACCTTTCAGAGACTACTCACAAGCTGTTCATAGCTGTCTGGTGGGTGATCTCAAGGCCTCTCCTTTGCCTAGAGAGGAATAACAGAAGAGCTTGTTTACTCACTGGCTCTTCGTGCTGCCACAGTTACCAGTTCTGCTTTTCACAGACCCATCTTTAGTCCAAGGATTGTACTTTTCTTGTGTATATTTGATTTAAAAAACACACACACCTATAAATAGGAAAGTCCTGCATATCCTTTTGTCAAATATCTGGCCAGATAAAAAACTTATCCTTATAATTTGCTAATTATGAACACATATAAAATACCAGAATCATATATACCCACTTACAAAACATTAATTTTTCTAGATGATTCAGGTGCTTATTGCCTCTTTAGGTTTTATGCAAAATGCAAGTCAATAGAAGTGAGTCAAGAATGTTACACTTGCAAAAATGTGATTGCTTGTGGAGAGAACTGCAAAAGACATTTACTTTTTACAGGGAAACTTCAGCCATGTAAAGTGCATATAACAACTAAACAGGTTCTTTTACAAAGTATGAATTCAGTAAACTTTCAAAAGTTGAATTACAAACTTTTTGTTTAGTGTTGCAACAGACACTTCCTGTTTGTAGATAATAAAGTCCAGAACAAGGAATGCCAAATATGGTAATAGTATTAAGCTGCAAAATTCCTTACAGTTTTGTCATCATGTTTTAAAAACAGCCTTCCCCAGACATTCATCCTTATACATATATTGACTTCAGTTTCCTTTATTTCTAGCCAAGGTGGTATTATTGGCTGAGGGCAGTAAAAGTTGTTGCCCATCTTAAAGAGTTCCAAATTGCATAAAGCTACTTTGAAAGAATCTTGTTTATCCTGCAACTCATGGCTTGCTACATCCACAAAACAATTCACTGTATTACTTCAGACATAGGGTTTAGGTTATGACAGTCCTTCAGCTTGGAGGAAGCCTTGAAATAATGTTCAGCAATCTGAGAATCCTTGGGTAAAAATCTCAAAAAAATAAGAAAATGTCTAGGTAGAATTTGTAACCAAAACACTCCATGTTTTGTGATAGTTATGAGGAAAAAAAAGGTAAGGTTGGCAGTGTAAAAATTGTACCACTGCTAGTGCTAGCATTAAAAAATGATTCCCCCTCCCCACCTGGTGGTCACAATCTCTGGCATGTATGTAGTGAGGACAGCAGCATATGGCAATCAGAAGCAAACAGCAGCCAGCTTAAATGTGCTATCATTTGTACTATGTAATTACTGCTATCATATCTGGGCTGCAGAAATCCAAAGGCCAGTAACTAGCAACAAAGGAGCAGAGGGCTCTATCCCTTTTAGAGCTGAGAACATGGGAAGCAGGAGTCAGTAAACCTGAATCCAATCACTGGATAAATATCTCTACTGACAAAAAGTATAGCCCAGTGGTAAAAAAGGGAAAGGGGGGAAAGGGAGTTAAAAACTTAAGTACTGAAGCAACAACCAAAAAAAAAAAAAGAGTAATTTGTAAAGTAATCATAATATCAGGAAGAAGCAGAAGGGAAGATCACAGAAGGGAGAATCAGATAGAAAAGGGAATAAAAAGGGGAGGGAGAAGAAGAGAGGGAAAAGGGAAAGGAAAAGAAGCTACAAAAGACAGAAACAAGATATAGAGGTATAGGAAAAACATACAAGAATTAAAGGTATAAAACCTATTTAAAAGACACAGAGACAATGGTTAAAATTTAACTTAAGGAGAGGATTCTGCAAAGGTGCATGGGATAGCATTGTTATAAAATATGTTAGATGATTAAAGTGATAGAAAAAATTTCTATTGATGTGTAGTGGAATATTTGTAAAGAGAATAAGGCTCTCAATGATTTAAAAAGAACGTTTAAAAAAAACTGAAAAGAAACATGGAAGATTTTTATCAGTTGATAAGGTGAACTTGAATAATAATAATAACTTTATTGACTACTGTTAATAACTATTGTTTGGTTTTTTATTTAAAGACAGTAACAAATAAAATATGAAATATAGATGATTAAAGTGAAAGACAACTGATATTACTAGGTAATGTTTGTTAAAAGAAATAGAAATGTAAAAGATTGTTATTAATATTAATGGCAGAGATGTACTTGAATAGAATAATTATTACATTTACTATTGTTATACATATATACATAGATATATATACATAGATACTTTTTTTCTTTTAAGAATTTAGTGTGTATTTTAAGGGAATGTACCAAGCAGAATTCGATTGAAAATAGGTATGTGTTATAAAATAGAGGTTAGAAAATGAATGTTATAACTGTAAGGATGTACTTAAATTATTAAATAATTTTTACCAGTCTAGTAATTACAGGGGAAAATTTGTTTTATGAGAAAAGATAATACGAAATTGTAAACAGGACAGACGAAAGTATAAAAACATTGATTAGAAAGATTTTAAAAATTAGAAAAAGATATGTAATTGAATTAAGAAAGGAATGAGATAATTTAAAATAAGGCTATAGGAAGTAAAGAAAGGGAAAAGCTATTGAAAAAATTGTGAAAATAGTTATAAGATATGGATTAGAATGTATAAGATAAATATGTATTGAGTTCATGTCTGTATGGGGAAGTGATAACCCGGGGCCCCACTGTTCTCAAAAAAAGATATTTTATTTGTATTTGTATGTTTTGTGAAAACTTAAATAAAACTTTTATTTAAAAAAAAAAGTATAGCCCAGTGAACTGACTCTAATATTGACAAACAACTTTAAATTGTCTTGGGAAACAGCTATCCAAAAGAAGTTGAGCCACTATGGCTTTTCTAATGAGGCTGTTTTGACTTTTAGGGCTAGATCAAGGTAGATCAATATTAAGGCAGAGGATTTCATAAATAGAAGGCCAAACAGTAATTGTTGCTTTCTCTCACAATACATTTGAAAATAACTAGATTTTAATTCCATACCAGATTCGTATTTATATTAAATCACAGTTTCAAAATTCAATAGAATTTTATATATAACTTAGTGTAATGCTGTCCCCATTTTGGAAGGGAAATATAGGATAACTTCTTATGAAACTCAGCACTATCCCTCTGACACAGGTGTTATAGAAATAGCCCATGTTTTTTGAACTGCCAGTTCTACAGGGAATTCAGCAGATTACTTCTTTTTCATCTACATTTCCTAGGCGCTCCAATAATTTTTATTTGCAAGTATTTGCTAAATAACCAGGATAAATCTGTTTCTCTAAAAGAGTAAAGTTTTGCTACATTATATATAAGCTTTGCTCACAAATGGTTGTCATTGACAATAGGGGCTAACTTTGCTTTGTGTTTTTTACTGAATGTATTTTTACTGGTCAGTGACTGAAATAATTTTTTTGTCTGTTTGACTGTGAACGTATTGTTACCAACAGCACTACCTGTATGCATTTATGAAGTTTTGAGGAATCAGATTGAACATAGGAATATTTTAATATAAGTTTTATTACTGTTTCAGAATGTAATACGATTTTTGCATTCAGAAAAATGTTTACTTCCTGACATATTTTTCTTACCTTCTGTAGTTATTTATTCTGTCCCTCACAGTACCCACTCCCTATGTTTTAATTAATACATTGGGTGGGGGAAGAGAAAAATGATTGTAGAAAGAGTTGGTAATCACTTTCCCACAACATAAAGGTCCTAAAACTAAATGTGTTTTTAAAAGTCAGAGTATTCCAATGGGTAGCATATTGTTTGAAGTCCATATTTAGACTGTGGCTTAGCAGCCTACATGTACTCTGTATCCTGGTTTAACTTAATGCAAACAAAAATAAAAGAATCACGTGTACCATGCATCAAATGTAACATATCCATCCTAAAAATAGCAACTAACAGAGATGTAGGCCATTTTCTATGTAAATTGTTGAACATTTGGAAGACTGAAATATTTATGGCCTGTTCAGATTAATTGATGCTTATCTGTAAAACAGATCCAATGTGGAATTGCTTTATCGGCATGATACAATAAAGAAGATGGGTATAATTTAGCACAGTAATTCCAAAGGCTTGTTTTAAGTAGCTTAACACCAGCAGCTATTTGCCTTCAGCAATTTAGTATTGATATTGCCACAACTAAAATGGGAAATATGGAAATAATTTTGATAATTCTATTATGCATCAAATATGTTAATTGTAAATTGAACTTTTTCACAGTACACCACCAGATGATGAAGTTTCTAATAGATGTTCACGTACAGACAGGACAGGTTATAGCAGGTTCAACAGGGATGCAAACTCTTCTGGAAACTTTGTATCAACTAATTCTTTGGAAAAGAAGATTGATGATCTTGAAAAGGTAAGCATAATAAATCTAAAAGTTGCAATCTAATGTCTATTGGGTTGACTGTTTTTAAATGAATTATTTTAAATTTTGTTTTTTGAAGGATCTAGCAAAGGAGCGACAAGAAAACCTGAGACTTGTGAGGATAGCCCAAGACAAAGAAGAGTTGATTGGGAAATTAAAGGAGGAAATTGATTTATTAAATAGGGTAAGTGCTTTTTCAACCTAGCTGTGTTTCCTAGAATTTTTGTACAAGTCATACATTCCCTCACCCCTCCCCCAAAAAATTGAAGATGGGAAAATAATGGGAATAAAGAATGGTGAAATAAGTGTAAATGGCTGTATAAAGAAATACGTTTTGCCCATTTTATTGTCTAAACTTGAAAATTGAATTTACTGGGAAAAAAGATTAATTGAACTCATTGGAAGGTAAAACAAGAGGAGGTAGAACTAATTATAATTAATTAATATGGACTTGGCATAAAACTGAAAGAAGTATATTGAGATTGCTAGGTTATATAGAGATATTAAATGAGGGTCAAATTGTAACAAGGAAAAAGAGTAAATGGATTGAAAAGAAGGGAATGAGTGAGAAATTTATGGATGGAAATGAGAACCACAAAAGTATCATTTAATGAAAAACAATATGTGGAGTTGTTCACAGGTGGTAGAAATGTGAATGTTTTCAAGAATAGAAAGTTATGGAGAAACATAACGAATGAGTGTTCTTGGGTTAAAGTTGCTGTGGGTGCAGTTCCTTTTTTAATGTCCTTTTTTCCCCTGTGCTTATTACCTCTTACTTAATTTTTGCATGTTGGTTAAGGTTTCCTATGGTCAGAAGGAATAGTAGTATGAGTATGAATATATGCATGTAAATGGATAAATTATTACTGATTTATTGTTAGGCAGTTTGAAACATGTTAGAAACATTAAATAAAAATAGCCAATTCTAGTTGGATTCTAAGAACAGCTCTTGAGAAATGCAACATGAGTTCTTTAATTATAACAGAGTAGCTGTTTTAGGTGCCCAATGTTTTCTTATTTGAATTTTATTGAATATTACATGGCATTGCTTCTTAAAATGCTATTTGTAATTTAGGAAAGGAATTTTGGTTCACTGGGAAACTAATCCTGCACACTATGCAATTAATTTGGTTTTTAAAAAAATATTTGCATATTTAAATTTTAGCCAGTGGTTATGGTCGGACCTAGTCCAAGTAACTCATACTTTTAGTCATTTTGGAATGTTACTTGTGCTAGATAAACATTCCAGAATGTGTTTATATAAAATCTTGATGTTTCTGTCTCTGCTTTAAAACAATTATTTTGATATTTTGTGACCTGCTTGAAAGACAAAAGTAAAATTAAATTGATTTTTGAGAATCCTAGATATGGTGCATACTTTTTTCAGACATTAAATAAAAACAGTGGTGAACTTCAAAATTGTATCATGACATTGCTACTGCATTTTTCAAATGAGAAGTGTCTATATTGCTTAAATAATAAAACAATATCCTGCTGACAAGTTCAATGTTGCTCAATAAAAAACAATGCTGTTGAACATGTATTTCTCAGATGAGTTCCCACAATCAGTAAGATGAGTTCCCACAACCAATAAGATTTTTTTTAATTTATCCTGATGCCTAAAATGTCTGCTGCAAAGAGCAAATACCAGAGATAACAATTCAAAAAGAAAGGGGCAATAAATTAGGAATTGAAATAGTTGGCATCTTAGCCACAGTTGCTAACGATGCACATACATAAAGTAAAGCCATAAAATGATGCATAGTTAAAAATAATCAAGGCTCCACAAAACTGCTTTGTAATCCAGAGCAAAACACATCTACTGGGATCTACTAACATCCTGATACCAGGGTGTGAGGAAAAAGCCAGATCTTCAAGTCTTTCCTGAAGATCTATGGGATCAAGGCTAGTACAGAGAGATATGTATTTGAGAATGGATTAATGTCAATGTCCCCAACTTCAGATCATGTCACCACTGCCTCAAGAGGGGGAGAAAATAGATCTTATGCAGAAACCCTTTCAGTGAGTCAGACCATCTCTATCCTGGATCAGCTTCACAGTTGCCATGGTGATAAAAGATATCTTGAGCTGCCTTTGATCCCAAGCTGGGAGAAGAATCACATCTCACATAACCATCAAAATGGCACAGTAAAAAAGTATTTATGCAGTTGGGAGGTTGGTACACTAGCCATAATCCCACCTGATTTCTAAGGCCTACATCTGGCTATCTCCAGAGCAGCACCCCTGGAAGCTAGGCTCTGCATTAACCATTAGGTTTGGGGTGGACATGCCATGTCAGTTATTGTACCATATCTTTCTCAGGTTTGACAGGTTTCTGTAAGAGAATTCATAATTCTTAAATCCCTTCTGTTAATTTTATTCTTTTATATATTGTGTTTGTGTATATATAGTATATTTGTATGGTATTCAGCTTTGTTCGGGTATTTTCCCATGTCATTATAGTTGTGCTTTTAAAGTTGTAGCAACGTTTCAGCAGAATCTCATCTGCCATCATCGGGCTTCTGTATTGTGTTCGTCTGTGAGTCAGACTTTCACAGCCGTTTCACAGTATATTTGTATTTCATATGGCTAATTCAAAATTTATCTTGCTAAATTTAATCTTTTTTCTCCTTGTTACATATGTGTAGCCTGACCAAGTCCTTTAGCATATTTTTGATGTAATAATTGGTTTTTTGCCCATTTGTTTTGTCTATGTGTACTTTTCTTTACTATCCTTACATTGTCAATTTAGTTTTGGGTACTTTGGATGCCAATTTTCCTGGGCTGGTTAATAACCACAATAAAGTTAAGTAAAGTATATAAAGCATTCATATCAGAGTAAAAGGTTTGTTACAGAATATAAATTATAAGTTTACTAAGTAACTCCCAACCAGTTTGTTAGCCATCTCAGTCTGTAGTTCACCGTTTTGTTTGTTTTATGAATTAAAATTTATATCATGTATTATAGAATGAATTATTAACTGAATGTTTAAAAAGAACTTTTATTAATCAATAGCAGTATATCTTGTTTTATTCTTTCTCAAAGGATCTAGATGATATAGAAGATGAAAATGAGCAATTAAAGCAGGAAAATAAGACACTGTTAAAAGTTGTTGGACAGCTGACAAAGTAGAAGATGGAAGCTGCCAAAATAGAAGATGGAAGCCTCAGTGAGGAAGGAAATACGAAACTACTGATTTGAATGTTTAAGGGTCAAGATTAAGATACTTCCTTTGTGGCAATATGTGAAAACAACTGTCTTTGTATTTATTATTAAGGAGCAGGGAGAAATGATGAATGTTTTACATGATGCTGTTACTTCTAAGCTCATTCCTTTGAATTTCCCAAAGTGATTCAAATTATGCTCATTGAGATGCATTAGATCTTTCTTTGTATATGACCCAGTTATGCTTTTTAAAGAATTCCTGATGACAAAGGTCACAGTTAGTCTATATGGAAATTACTTGTAGGAGAGGGTTTTTCCCCTGCTCTATGAATAGAAGAAATAGGAATAAAATTTGTTTACACAGGGTCAAAATAACTATTTTGGGAGATATTTGTTCTTTATATGAACAGGTGTAAAACAAGTGCAAGTGCATTACTGATACAAAACATTTTACAGAGTGTTACTCTGCAAAAAATCTTGTATGTTGTGATTTTATTTTATACTTTATCTGAAGTACTGACAGTAGTAGATAGTATTTCTTGTACAGATGCTGTTTGATAAAAATGTTTTATAAATCATAAATAAATCACCAATAATTATCACAACTAATAAGTAGTTTTTAGAAAAAAATTGTATGCTGCATACTACCACACAGAGCTTATGTTTCCACAGGAAGAATAATTCAGAGGGTGCCATTTTTTGAAATTTATAAACTTCAAATATTACAATCACAGTTTATTGGATTAAGAAAAGTCTTTCTGATTTTGTATAAAGTTGCAGTGGGAATCATTGCTTAGCAATGGTTTAACAAATCATATAATCTTTGCATTGGTTGGGAAATATTAGTGTTCTCGGCCAAATAACTATAGACCAAAACTGTTTATCTAAACCATGCCTATATGAACGGACTTCATCCAACATGTATCAGGTTAGCATCAAAATGAGTAATGGATTCATTTCGCAACATTATGATCTACCAAGCTCTTATATGAATCATGGGGTTTTTGAATTGTGCTAAAAGATTTAATTGATATAGTTTACAAAAGAAATTTATGATTGTTCACCCCTCTAAAAGTATAGAAAACATCTAGAATAACACCAATGCTTGTTAAAATAAAGTATGTTGCATGTTCTATTGTAGTCTAGTGTCAGTTGCTTGTGTCAATGTTGTGCAACAATTGTCTGTTCTGTATGAGCTAGAAAAATCCAAAGTTGCATTTTAAGGATATTTTTTTTAGTATGGAAACTTAAATATAGCATTTAAGCTTTCAAAATACCTCCACTGGTTTATCAGGAAAATAGGAAATAAGAAAAAAAGCAGGAAAGAAAAGTGGAAAAAGAATCAACTTCCCTGATGAGCTCGGAAAAACTCAAGACCAACAGACTCTCTCTGATTTTTCAGATAGTCTTACTCTGGGACCCTGGATGTTTTTCTTTTGAATAACACAGCTACCTTTCTTTTTGCTTGAAAAAATTGTGTTTTTAATGGCCTAGCCTTTTTTGTCTTGAAATCAGCTATATAGCCTTGAAAAATATCTTGTCAACCAGATCTGAAAAGTAGGACTAGAATGCTTAGGCATCCTTAGTTGCTCTCTAATACGAATGTTTGTTTATGTAGCAAAAGTGTATTAATGTTGCAAAGACAATCTCCACTGAATGTAATCAATGTAATCAATTTTCCCCCCATGACACACTATTTGAGAATATGCGCTAATTTTCCATACCTTTTTTTCCTTTAATGATTGCAGTTGCAGATGCAGCATACCAGAATTTCTCTATTGGTAGATCACAATGCTAAGCAACTATGTAATTACTCAAAATAGATTACTTTTTGTATTTTAAAAGGCTATGGAGGTGACTTACGATCATGATTGGGACTCAAATCTTACCTGTGACTGCTTTGTCAATGATGCAATCCCCGTACCTGCCAATCTCGGTTGCAATCATTAAGTGATCTCATTGGTTATTAAGCAGATGGAACAAAATCTTGCAGACAGAAACCCTTTTTTGCTCTCAATTGTTCCTTCATGCTGCTGAAAGATTTCAGCTCTCCTCCAAGCATGGAGAGGAACAAAGCTGAAATCTTCAAAATTTCAGTTCTGTTTTTGCAGCCTGCTGAAGGATTTACCCTCCCCTCCAATTCTAGCCATATTAAGATATTATGTCTTTTCTTTCATAAACTTTAATGATTAAATGAAGTTAACAAAGTTATCAAATACACTTCTAATTTTTCATACACAATTTTCCCAGTTTGAATAAACAGAAAGACTACTACATGAATGGTTCTCTTGTCACCATTTGTTCAGCAACCATTCTGAATTACCCAGGGCTGAATGAATGGTACTTATTCATAATTCTGGTTGTCACAGAATCCCCTCGCTCACATGACTGCATTCCAGGCACATTTCACCTGGCTTGCAATTATAGCATCACAGTGAACCGCACAGTCACATGATTGCAATTTCCAATGGCAAGCTTCCCACAAGCAAAATCAACATAGAAACTGACAGGAAGACAGAAGTTCCAATAGTGCAAAGTCCTTGCTTAAAGACCAGAATGGTCCTTGATTAGCAACAGCAAATGGGACTGCTAAAATTGGCATCATTAAGCAATATAGTCACATGATATCACACTATGCAGCTGCATTGTTAATGATAATTCTGATCCTAATTGCCATTGTAGTCTGAGAACTACCTGTAGCCCAAATTAAGATACTCATCAGGAAAATAACTAATAAAGGGTTAGGGTAAAACAAAGGATGAGACTACGTTCAAATCCCAGTGTAAAAATTGCTTTAAATGTATTTTGAGATGTTGGTAGAAAGAATTGTAAGGATATATGTTCCCAAATAAAATTGTATATATTGTTCAAAAAACTTGTAGCTTCCCCACAGTCTGCAAAAAGTAATTATTCCGCTGAAAAACAATACTTTTTAGATTTTCTAGGATGAGCAACCCTGATGATTAAAATAGTTAAACAAAGAACCTAGTTGGATACTCAGCTTGTTTCTTCAAGATGTTTATAGTAGCTTCCAGCTTAAACTGAGTGCAATCATCCCTTCCTAAACTATATAGATTTCATCAATTACAGTGATTCATGTTTGAAGAAATGCAATAGGTAAGTTAATAGGAAGGGAAACTAATCGATTTTTCATAAAAAGTTTGTATTAAGTATAACATATTATTTTAAGACTCTCTGGGAAGATTATATGGGATTCAAATTAAAGGAATCTTATTTGACCTCTCTGTGCCATATAATTTCATTTAAATAAATTTCAGCAACTCAGTAAGATATTACCATGAAGATCATCATCCCCAGGTGACACTACCTCCCAGTAAATTGCAATGTATAAACTAGAATCTTTCTAGAAAGACCCCCAAGCAGGTTTGTACAATTATTGCACATATCTTTGTCCTCAGTGCCCAATTAGTCTTCTTGGATAAAAGTTTTTGAAAACAAAAATGCAAAATAAAGCACCATCTTTTATAAACTATTTTGCTATGAATTATTCATATTCCTATTATTACAGCATTAGAAGTAAAGTCATATGCTGCTGTTATCTGAAAAATACTGGAAATCTCAAAATGCATATGTCATTAGTTAAAAGATACGTATATAAATTTTAATGCTATTGCTAAATGTGCAAATATTCTGGTTTACAAATTCACCAAAAAGTTTGTAAAAATTCTACAGTGACTAATAAATTTTGTTAGATCTGGCCACTATTTGTTACCTATTAAGATTGTCGTCGTTCCCCCCCTCCCCCAATTTATTGGTTGAAAACTCCTGTATAGAATTACTGGGTATTTATTTTAATTTTAGAATGCTAGTTGCTTCCGGTTTCTGGGCCATTCTTTTTAATTTTGTAACTTCAAAAGAAAATTTTTGTTTTTAATGAAAAACTGAGACATCAAAAAATTGTGTTATTTCCCTCCTTTTTATTATAGCAGACACATACACATTACTGTAAATGAGATGACAATCAATATCCTATGAACACTGCAAGAGTCTAGCCAGCAAATCAGAAATTTAACTTGCAGCTGGATCCACCTTTGTAACTCTTTAAATGACTTGTTAAATGACTTTGATTTGTTTTCACAAATCATACCATTATATATAAATGATTACATAGAAGTTTTTTGGGCAAATGAAATATCAATTCTGTCTATTCAGAGTATCAAAATATCTCTGACTCAATTTACTAATTGTTTCAGATGGCACTATTGTTAGATTCAGAAAGAATATACATTCGGAGGGAGAGAGGGAGAGGAGGGGGGAAGATGGTTCTTTCAAAGGTATACAGAGATGACCCAATTGTTCGCTCTGATAGATATAATAAAAGTGTTCTTTTAAAATGAGTGTCAGAATACTAAAAGCTATGAAGCTGGGGTGGGAAAAACAAAGAAGATCTCTTCACCACCTCACATTAATGTTTTCCAGGAAGAAAAGAAGCAAAATGAAGCAGAATATATTTGCCTTAAGAGCATTCTATTTCTAAGGAAATAGATAAATATGTCTAACACAAGGACTTGGCTATCTGTCTCCTATATTCTTAAATTATGGTGTGTGATTGGTTAAAATTTAAATGTCTTCTTTCCCTGTATAATTTAGAAAATTGATTTTTATGTGAATCTTGGATCAAACATTAAGCACTATTGGCTATCCACCACTCAAGCATCTCATGATCTGGTTTGAAAGAAAATTACAGCCACCTATCTCCACAACCCCTATCTCAGACACACCGAGCCTCCTACAACTGACCCCAACCCATTGGGTTCACAACCTCTGGTGATCACAGAAAAAGAAGTGCAAGATCTATTTCACAGACAAAAGCCAGGAAAAGCACCAGGGCCAGACAAGATAACTCCTTGCTTAAAAGTCTGTGCTGACCAATTGGCCTCCATCTTCACCCAAATCTTCAATAAATCACTAGAGATGTGCTATGTTCTTTCTTGCTTCAAACATTCTAATATCATCCCAGTGCCGAAGAAGCCCTTCATCAAGGAACTGAATGACTACAGACCAGTTGCTCTAACATCTGTAGTTATGAAAATCTTTGAAAGGCTGTCTCACCTGAAAACCATCACGGATCCACTGTTAAATCTCATGCAATTTGCACACTGAGCAAATAGATCAACAGATGATGCTGTTAATATGGCTCTGCACTACATCCTACAACACCTTGAATCTCCAAATACCTACACAAGGGTCCTCTTTGTAGACTTTAGCTCAGCATTCAATACCATCATTCCAGACATTCTTCTAAGTAAACTAAACTAAATCAGCTAGTGGTATCTGAACAAACTTGTAAGTGGATCATAAGCTTCCTAACAGACAGGAAGCAGCAGGTGGAGCTAGGCAGAATCACATCTGATACCTGTACAATTAGCACAGCCCCCCCCCCAAGGCTGTGTGATTTCTCCACTTCTCCCTATATACCAGTGACTGCATCTCGAATAATCCCTGTTAAAATACTGAAGTCTGCATATGGTACAACAGTGATTGGTCTCATTCAAGACAACGACGAATCTGCATACAGATGGGAGGTTGTACAATTTGCCTCATGGTGTGACCAGAACAATCTGGAACTGAACACACTCAAAACCATAGAAATGGTGGTAGACTTTAGGAGAAACCCTCCCAAACTACCACCTCTTACAATACTAGACAACACAGTATCAACAGTAGAGATCTTCAAATTTCTAGGTTCTATCATATCACAAAACCTAAAATGGATACCTAACATCAAAAACGTCATCAAAAAAGCACAACAAAGAATGTTCGTTCTGTGCCAACTCAGAAAGCTCAAACTGCCCAAGGAGCTGCTGATACAGTTCTATGGAGGAATTATTGAGTATGTCATCTGTACCTCTATAACTGTCTGTTTTGGTTCTGCAACCCAACAAGACAGACACAGACTTCAGAGAGTAATTAGGACTGCAGAAAAAACAATTGCTATCAACCTGCCTTCCATTGAGGACCTGTATACTGCACGAGTCAAAAAGAGGGCTGTGAAAATATTTATAGACCCCTCACATCCTGGACATAAACTGTTTCAACTCCTACCTTCAAAACGATGCACATCAGAACAACTAGACACAAGAAGAGTTTCCCCCCGAACACCATTACTCTACTAAACAAATACATTTTAATATTTACAGTTAAAAGGAGAATTTTCTCTTGTTAGGTAAAGTAAAAATTTGTCTCCCAAGAAAGGGTTGAATCTTCTAGTCACACACCTACAAGCTTCATTTCTTTTTCTCTTTTTAGTTTTAATTTTTAATTTTTAAATCACCCCAAAATGCAGCATGAAAGCATTATCATTTTCACACATGAGGATTAGGGGAAAATAACATGTGAGAAGCTCTCTAAAACAGCGGTCCCCAACCTGTAGTCCCTGACCCAGTGCTGGGCCGTAGATATTTGGAACTGGGCCACAGCAGTGGGGGTGAGTGTGCAAAGATGTGCAAAGCTGCATTTGTGAAAATGGCACACATACATATAAAACGATCCCCTGTCTACACCATCGTTGTTGCTGCCACCTCTGCCAGTCCACTGATCCAGAAAGGTTGGGGACCGCTGTTCTTAAAGACAGACAGTGACAGCTGAATTGCCAAGTCACTGTCCAAATTTGGAGGTGGACAAAATTTGAGACCCAGGATGCTTCTAGGAGAGGATTGGGATCTCTAACCTATTAGCTACTCATTCTGCTTGAGATTCCTTTCAGATCTATGATCCCAATTGATCCAAGTCAAGGGTGGTCATTTTTTAAACTCTAGCCAAAGCATATATGTTGTAACACAAATTCCTACACACCACAAGAGAACAGATATTTGTATTGTATAGACTGGTTTTTCTTATAGCTTCCACCAGAACTGACTTCAGCCAAACACAATGAGTATTTTGAGAATGAGATGTTGAACACTGTTTCAAAAGAGCTAAGGGAGCTAAGGGAGAAGGTATCCAGTCACAAAATGGATAACATGGAGGATATACCCTGTTACAAGTTATTAGTTTAACAAATGCTGCCCTCCCCCAGTCCCTCAAAAGAAGCATTCAATTATTTCTATTTACTGTATTTTTCTGTGTATAAGACATACTCCCCCCCTCCAAAAGTGGGTGGAAACGTGTGTGCATCTTATACAGCCAATGTATAATGTTGCCAAAGTCCTGTCCACCCACCAGTCCCTACCCTTCGGCCTCTGCTTCCCAGCAATTTGACTCCTTGCAGCAAGCAGCAAACAGCATAATCAGCTTCAGCACAGCCTGATTTGACACAAGCAGCTGATTGTCAGCTGGATCGGCCTCCCAACCACCAGCTGTTTCAGGCTGCTGGGATTGCCCTTACCTATTGCCACCTCTGTGCATCCCATTTTCAGCTTCTGCATCTTGTTTTCAGCCTCTGAGCACCTCATTTTTGGCCTCCATGCACCCCATTTTCAGCCCATTCCGATCCCCACTGCTGGAATGGACCAAAAATGGGGCATGTGGAAGCTGAAAACAGGGCACGCAGAGGCCAAAAATGGGGTGCGTGGAGGCGGCAATAAGTGAGGGCAATCCCAGCAGCCTGAAACAGCTGATCATCGGGAGGCTGATCCAACCGATAATCAGCTGCCTGTGCCAAATCAGGCTCTCCTGAAGCTGACCAAGCTGTTTGCTGTTTGCTGCAAGGAGGTGAATTGCTGGGAGACAAAGGCAGAGGCAGATTTTTTTTCTTGTTTTCCTCCCCAAAAGCTAGGTGCGTCTTATACTTCGGAGCATCTTATAGTCTGAAAAATATGGTACTTTTTTCTTAGGCACTGAGACCTACTTCCAGTATAAACAGTGACTCATGCTGAATCCGGAGAGGGTGTAAAAACGCTACAGGTT